GTCCTATAATAAATGTTATTAAAATGCAAAGAATAATAAGACATATCCTTCTAGGAACTAATGACAAATTCTCTCTCTCTCTCTCTCTCTCTCTCTCTCAAACATAAGCAGTAGAGACTATGCCATAGATGATAGACATAAATAAAGTACTCTGTGTGCTCAGGTGGAATCCGAGAATATTTATGGAAAGTAGTGTTTTAATATGACCCTAACTAATCCTTCAGTTTTGGATACTGGAACTGAAAAATGATGTTGTAGGCTGAGGGAAGAGCAATGGAATAACAAGGGTGGGAAAGTGCACATGGAAACATTAAAATTGAAATGCAATGTGAGTTTAAGTGGGGGTTATGCCAACAACAGAAGCTTAAAAATCAGACTTCAGAGAACAAAAAAATTATTTTGATTTCAAAAATAGCCCCTGAACTTTTTTAGCAAAAGCATGAGTCTGTCGTCTCTGCATACTGGATGAAATTACCAACAGCAAAAAGATGCACTGGATGTTGATATGGGAAAGACAAAGGCAGGACACTGCATCTATGGTTAGCAACACTGCTTTGTGCTCTTATAAACTTGTCAAAATGGAGGTGTCTACCCCAGCAGTTAAAATGCCAATTAAGATCACAGCATCTCACATCTAAGTGTCTGTCTGGCTCCTGACTCCAGCTTCCTTCCAGTTCAGACCCAGGGAGGCAGCAGTTATGGCTCCTGTAATTGGGTTACTGTCTCCCACATGGGGGACCGGGATTGAATTCCTGGCCCCTGACCTTGGACCTGCCCAGTTCTGGCCGTTGCTGGCATTGGGGAATGAACCAGTGGATAGGAGCTCTCTCTGTCTCTCTGCCTTTCAAATAAAATGAAAATAAATAAACATTTAAAAAACTGTCCAGAGGGTTAAACTCATGTCAAATGTTCTTACCATAAAAAAAGAAAAATAAATACCAAAATTATCAGCATAAATTTCTTAAAGACAAAAGGAAATTAATGAAACAGTCTAGATGGAAATTATGAGAGTCTGAACTGTAGCAACAGCAGCAGAAGTAGAAAGACAGAAGTGGGTTCTTGAAGTATAGAATGAGCAGGATATCTAACATTTATCTGTTGTAAGAGTGAGGGAGATTAGAGAGATTAAGATGACCCTTAGATTTCAAGATTAACAATATAACCAACAAACGCAGATTAAATAAGGTACAACAAAAGAGAGTACAATTCAGTCCAGGTCGTTTTCGTATTGAGTTACGTTTGATACACACACATGTCTATCCTTGAAACGAAAAGAAACTGCCTGTCCTCTACTGCCCTGGCCAGTGGCCACAGCAGCTGCTGCCCCACACACATGCACACACACACAGGGTCACCAGCAGAGGTGTGCGCCTCAGCAGTCCCTCCATGTCTCCAGCAGAGGGCAGAGGCAGATTAACAAAGCAGCCTAGTCTAGTTGGTCAAAAAGGATTTTACTTTACTGCTGGCTGGTTACGTAAATCCCACGTTTAGAACCACACACACACACACACACACAGAGATTTCAGAAAGCTCATGAAAGCGGAATCAAAAGATACGTTTTTTGGATGCAAAAAAAAAAAAAATCCTGAAACCCATGCATAGATTGTTCATAATATGCGTTTTTATGACCCTTTGAAGACCATATATATATATATATATAAGCACTTCTTATTCGGCTCCTTTCTAGTGCACCTGGAAAAGCAGCTGAATATGACACAGCAGACCCAGATGAAGCTCCTGGCTCCTGGCTCCTGGCTCCTGGCTCCTGGCTCCTGGCTATGGCCTGGCAGAGCCCAGAACTTTGCATGGCATTTTGGGGGAGTGAATCAGTGGATGGAAGATTTCTCTCTCTCTGTCTCTCTCTCTCTGTCTGTCTGTCTGTCTCTCTCCTCATTCTCTCTATAGTTCTGCCTTTCAAATAAATAAATAAATCTTGTTTATTAAAAAAAAACTACCTCATCATGGTCATTAAGCTAAATGAGATATAAGCAAGGTGGATTTAATTTTGACCAGACTCAATAATATGATGTGCACAGGGATTTGTTAACCCAGGATACCTAGGAATAAACACTGACTGACTACCATGCACAGGACTGAAAATATACGTATAATCTGATCCCATCCCAGTACCTATGATTGTCCTGTGGAAAATCAATACATAAATAGCTCAAAATAATTAAAGAGAAAATAGGCCACGCTGAATAAAGATCTAAAGACACGCGTTTCATCATTTCTACCACCTGCCACTCAGCCAAATCAGAAGAAATGCTCTGCAAAGCTGTTAGAGGCAGAAGAAAAAGCACACATCTGCTCAGGGACAAAATCAAGGACCTGCCCTCCATCAGATGCCAGCCTTGGCATCCTGTCCCTTGATGTGATAAATAAAACCTGCACAGGAATCTCTGCGGAGCTCCGAAGTTCAGCACGTCTCACCATTCTCAGAGCTGGCACTTGGGGCTGCAGGTCTGCATTCCTACCCCCACCCGTCATCGGGTAGATGGGGAATCTGCCACGCAGGTTTTGTCTCTTGGGGGTAGGCAAGTCTAGGCACGTTGGGAAAAATCTTGTCTGAAATACACAGTGGAAAAAAAAGAAGTAATCATTTTTTAAAACACTGTGAGGAAAGGCTTCCATAGCCTTGGCAGCTCATGACAAGAGCCTCGGGTGATGACTGACATCATAAATAAGAGTGTCAATTGTTGGATCAACAACAGGAGTCACTGTGCACATACTCCCCATGTAGGACCTCTGTCCTTAATGAGTTGTACTATGAGAATCAACGGTAAAACTTGTTCTCAAACAGCACGTTATACATTGTATGTGTGTGGGGGTGCAAACTGTTCAAATCTCTACTTAGTACAGAGTTGGTCTTCCGTATATAAAGTTAAACTAAAAAAGAATCTTACCAAAGAATGGGATGGGAGAGGGAGTAGGAGGTGAAACGGGAGTGGGGTGGGAGGGCAGGTATGGGGGAAGAACCACTACATTCCTAAAGTTGTACATATGAAATTTGCATTCATTGAATAAAAGCTTTAAAAAACTGTAAGAAAAAAAAACTTACCTTATAACTCTAATCCCGATTAAAATGTCCCTCAAAACCAGAATTTAAATACATGGTCAGAAATCCAATAGGGACACCAATTTACCACTAACTCGGTTCTAGCCAGTTAAACAACAGACAAACAGAAACATCCAGGCTGGAAAGACAAACATAAATTACCTCTAATTACAAATGACACAATCTTATATCCAGGAAAATCCTAATGAATTCATACACACACAACTCCACTAGTTCCAATAAGCAAGTTTATCCAGGAGCAAGACAAAAATTCAGATGTATTTCTATACAATAGCAGTATACAATACAAAAATAAAATTGAGTGCAAGTCCCATTACAGTTGCATCAAAATTGCAAAATTTCAGGGCCAGCATGTGGCGCAGCGGGTTAACACCCTGGCCTGAGCACCGGCATTCCATATGGGCGCCAGTTCGAGACCCGGCTGCTGTACTTCCTGTCCAGCTCTCTGCTGTGGCCTGGGAAAGCAGTAGAAGATGACCCAAGTCCTTCGGCCCCTGCATCCACATGGGAGACCCGGAAGAAGCTCCTGGATCCTGGCTTCTAATCAGTGCAGTTCTGGCTGTTGCAGCCAATTGGGGAGTGAACCATCGGATGGGAAGACCTCTCTCTCTCTCTCTGCCTCTCTTCTCTCTGTGTAACTCTGACTTGCAAATAAATAAATCTTTTAAAAATTAAAACAAAATAGTGCTGGGAAAGTTGGGTATCTACTATGCAAAAGGATAAAGTTACAACCCTACCTTGTATGCTACATAAAACTAATTCAAAATTGATCAAAGACCTAAGTGTAAGACAGTGCTATAAAATATTTAGAAGAAAACATAGATCTAGGTCTCTAGGACCTTGTGTATGCAAAGCAGATGCTCTGTGCACTGGCTGCTGGTCACAGAAAAGACCTCTAGATGCAGGGAGGATAGCAAAGTTGTCTCCATGCCAGTCACTAGGAATAGGAGACAGAACGCTTCAGCCCACTGCATCTCAGGCTGCCATTTCTGCCACCTACATGAGTCCAGGAACAGGGAGCAGGCATACAAATGTAAGGCAACTCTATTCATCAGCAAGACATAGTAGAAACCCATTCGCGGACAGCTTTCCCCCCAAGGCTAGGGAAAACCGTCCAGGGTGGGTGGAAGTCTGTCTGCATCTGTCTTAAGTTGCACTGCAGTTGGGGGTCTCTGAAAGTGCACCCAGCCTCTGGACGTAAATCCCAGGGCTGCTTTTTCTGGGGAAAGCATGTACAGAATATCCCGTTCCAGGAGAAATAAGAACAGAATCCAAGTGGTTCTGGCCAGTTGCTCCTTATCTCAAGATGTTGCATTCCCAGCACATCCTACCGTTATTCTTGAGAACTAAAAAGAGAAAGAGCAGACGAGCTGAGTCACAAGACCATCTGGGGACTTGTCTCACAGGGCAGACAATGATTTCTTAAACGTGAAACCCAAAACACAGGCAACCAAAGAAAAAAACTAGATAAGTTGGGCTTCATCAAATCTAAAAGCATTTGTGCTTCAAAGCACACTTTATTTTTTAAAAAGATGTATTTATTTATTTGAAAAGCAGAGATACAGAGAACAGAGAGAGGGAAAGAAGGAGAGAAAGATACACACACACACACACACACAGAGAGAGAGAATTTTCCATCCCCTGATTCACTCCCTAAATGGCGGAAATAGCCAGAGCTGGGCCAGGAACTTCGTCTGGGTCTCCCACATGGGTGCAGGGGCCCAAGCCCTTGGTTATCCTCTGCTTCTTGTAGGGAACTGGATTGGAAGTGGAGCAGCCAGAACTTGAGCCAGTGCCCATTTGGGTTGCCAGCCTCATAGGCATTGGCTTTACCTCCTGCACTGCACCACAGGCCCCCAAGGGAAACTTCCAAGAAAGATAAAGATAACCTCCGACACTTTCCAGAAAGATAAAGATAGCCTCCAAGTGGAATATTTATTTCCAAATCATATATCTCACAGGGATTTGTATTCAGAAGAAACAAAGAAAACCCACAACTCAATAATATGAACACAAAAATGGGAAAGGGTATGAATAAACATGTTTCAAAAGAGGATCCAGAAATAGCACAAAGCACTGAAAAATGGCAGCATCATTGGTCATTAGGGAAATACAAACAAAAATCATAATGAGATGCCACTGAAGACACACTAGACTATAATAGAAGAGGCAGACAACAATACACGCTTGCACAAATGAGGAGACGCTGGGGTCCTCGTGCATTGCTGGTGTGAATGTAAAGTGGTATAGTCATTGTGTAGTTTGGTATTTACTGAAAAGTTGAACATAGCCCAGCCATTCTAGTCTGAGGTATGTATTCAAGACAACTGAAAACATGTGCCTACATAAAAGTTTACACACATGCTCAGATCAACATTGCTTATATTAGCCTGAAAGTGGAAATGCCCATCAATTTGTGAGTGGATTCACACAAATCAGTGTATCCATAAAATGGAATCAGTCGTGAGTAAGCTATAGAGCAGTGATACATGCTGCACTGTGGATAAAAATGTGCTTAACGATAGAAACCAGACACAAAAGGGCATTTAATACATAAATACATGTATATGTGTGATTTCCAGAATATCTAAATCGTTAGGTACAGAAAGTAGATTCACGGTAGACATGGGCTGTGGGGAGGACTGAATGGGGAGTGACTTTCAGTGAGGCATGATTTCTTCCGGGGGGTGGTGAAAATGTTCCGGAATTAGATAGTGGCAATGACTGCATGGCTTTGTGAATACACAAAACAGCAAGGAATTACACACTTTCAAAGGGTGAACTTTATGAGTTATACTTCAATTTTAAAGAAAAATCTGGCACCTCCACCTAAAAGGATTCAAACATCGAAAAAAAAAAGAGTATATTTTCCAAAATCAACCTTGTGAATAGGAACACGTGTTGCCTAATATTTATTGTGTAACAACCTTGTTGATAAATGAACCAATCTTATAAAAATATAACACACTTTACAATCTTCATAAATGTACTCTGAGCCCTGAGAGATGGAAGACAGGTAACCGGCAGCTGATGGAACCATGTTGCACTGTTGAGAGATGGGAGACAGGTAACCGGCAGCTGATGGAACCATGTCGCACTGTTGAGTGATGGGAGACAGGTAACCGGCAGCTGATGGAACCATGTCACACTGTTGAGTGATGGGAGACAGGTAACCGGCAGCTGATGGAACCATGTTGCACTGTTGAGAGATGGGAGACAGGTAACCAGCAGCTGATGGAACCATGTTGCACTGTTGAATGATGGGAGACAGGTAACCGGCAGCTGATGGAACCATGTTGCACTGTTGAGTGATGGGAGACAGGTAACCAGCAGCTGATGGAACCATGTTGCACTGTTGAGTGATGGGAGACAGGTAACCGGCAGCTGATGGAACCATGTTGCACACAGGAAGAGCTGCAGTGGGCCCTGGGTGACACCTCAAAGGTGATGAGCAGACCATTCATCCTCCCCGCTCTGTATAAACCCCAACAATGCTCTAGGAGCCCGAGGACGAGCACACTGGAGTCACCCCACAAAACCCCTTCAGGACAGGCACAGGTGTTCAGGGAGGGACATTTCCATCAGTGGCTTTGGTGGATGATTTGAAATATTCCCTGGGGGAAGGACGGTGATGACACCTGCGTTTTGATTGCAGAACCTAAGTGGAGGCCCACTGGGTCTCTGCAGAGTGATGGAGACCCTTTGAGAGAGGCCTCAGGGACCCCTGGGAATAAGATCTTGAACCACTGCTTGTGAGCACAAAAATTGAGCAAGACTTAGTCAAGCATGGAGTGTCCTAGACACACAATGCACACATTTACTTCTTCCAGGGAGTGTGTAGATTCTAGTGGCGTGGGACTGGATCTCGATCTTTGTATCTTTCTTTCACTATGTCTGGAATAAAGTAGACTTTCAAGTTATTTGTATGCAATGCTACAGTGTAAGGAGGAAGAACAGAAAACGGAAAAGGGGAAAGATCTCCCAAACATAGGCATCCCATGCATGATTACAGAGAATAATGCAGATGAGATACTAGAGGGAGGGGACATGAGGTCTTAGGGTGAATTTATAGTTTGTATAATGTTCGTTCTTACATCAAAAATTCAAATGGAATAACAAAAGATGAGAAAAGTGAATGAAAATCTTAAAATGAAGTTCCCTCAAAATGCTTGAAACCATTGCAGAGCTGAGGTAGGGGAGAAAAGAAGGAAGCAGAGAGAATGTCAAATCACTTCCTGCCTCCATTCCCCCCTCAAGGTTGGTGCCCACTTTCCTGTCTCTTATCTGTATATCTTGATGTCTCCTCTGGTCAGAATCTTTATTCAGCAGAAGCAAAAAAAAAAAAAAAAGATGATTTGAGTAAATGAAAGGAAGATAAATGAACAAAAGACAATAAAAACTGGAAAGGGAAAGGGACATATAAAACATGTTCAGATATGTTTCACATATGAAAAAGGATTACTATTACTAATGAACGTGATTACCTCGAAACACTCCCTGCACTACACTACCCCCACAAATACACACCAAGCCAGGTTGTGGGAATAGCTAAGATCGCAAGATCAACCATTCAACTGACACATAAGGTCCATTCTAGAGAACAGAACCCGTTAGAAACGGTGAACTCACAGAAGACTCGCCTTCGCAGGAAGCAGCTGTGAGGGCTGGCTCCCTGGTCTGCTCTGGAAAGCGCCCGACTCTGCGATGGGCACCAGACTCCTGTCCTGTGTGCTCATGTGGCTGCTGCGGACAGGTGAGTTTTGAACTAACGGATCAGCATCACGGGGCTTTGTCTCTGGCTTGATAACTGTGTCTCTCAAACACACTTAGAACTCTGTGTTCCCTAGAGCTTTTTGGAAAGGTATTGACATGTAGAAAGAAACAATTGTATTCTGTAGGAAAAGCGAAATCCCTGTGAATTTTTAAACAGATGTGGAAGACTTCAAAGACACTGGACCTCACTTTGGACTGCTTCACGGTAGGAACTCATTGTTTTGCCATTATGACCCTGCCTCATGCAATATTTTTTCCTCTAAGGTCTCATGAAAGCTGCCATTCAGAGCCCAAGACACCTGATCAGAGAACAAGGCGAGGAGGTAACCCTAACGTGTAATCCGACAAAAGGACACGCTCACGTTTTCTGGTATCGGCAGCACCTGGAGGAAGATCTAAAGTTCATGATTTACCTCCAGAAAGAAATGGTCATAGATGATTCGGGAATGCCAGCCCAACGGTTTTCTGCTGGATTTCCCAGAGAGGGACCCAGCAGCCTACAAATCGAGCCAGCAGAGCCACAGGACTCAGCGGTGTATTTCTGTGCCAGCTCCTCCTCCACATCAGTGCAGAGTCAGGTCCTCACCATGCAGGAACACCCCCAGCCCTGCCTGGGAAACAGCAGTGGCGGGGACAGCTGACCTGCTGCCTGGCTAAGCAGCTAATCAGCTTCAAGGCATTTTGCAGGTTGAGGGTGGAGAGTGGGGCAGCCTATAGAAATATTACCGGCCGGCGCCGCGGCTCACTAGGCTAATCCTCTGCCTGCGGCGCCGGCACACCGGGTTCTAGTCCCAGTCGGGGCGCCGGATTCTGTCCCGGTTGCCCCTCTTCCAGGCCAGCTCTCTGCTGTGGCCAGGGAGTGCAGTGGAGGATGGCCCAAGTGCTTGGGCCCTGCACCCCATGGGAGACCAGGAAAAGCACCTGGCTCCTGACTCCTGCCATCGGATCAGCGTGGTGCGCCGGCCGCAGCGCGCCGGCCGCGGCGGCCATTAGAGAGTGAACCAACGGCAAAGGAAGACCTTTCTCTCTGTCTCTCTCTCTCTCACTGTCCACTCTGCCTATAAAAAAAAAAAAAAAGAAAAGAAATATTATGGAACATCCCAGCCCCTGCTCAGAAGCTGAGACTCTGTCATCCAAAAACTAAAATGATACTTTTTAACAAGTGGACATCACCTGTCAAGTCTAACACTAACGGAGCAATAGCAACTCTCTTGCTTGTACTCCGCGCTGTATATCAAGATTGACAAGACCATCAGCCAAGGAAATACTTCCCTCACTCTCACCCTGAGACAATATGGCTTATCCCTCGTGTTATCTCATTGCTTTTATTAACCTTTTGAAAGATAAAATGCAGGCATTTGGACTAGCACTTAGCACGCCAGTTAGGATGCCCAAATCCCATGTCAGAGTGTCTGGGTTTGAATACTGGCCCCAGCTCCTGATTCCAGCTTCCTGATACTGCAGACCCTTGGGAGGCAGCAGGTGAGGGCTCAAGTAGTTGGGTTCCTGCCACTTACCTGGGTGACCTAGAATGAGCACCAGGCTCTGGATTTTGGTCTGACCCAACCCAGCTATGGCAAACATTTGAGGAGTGCACCAGTATACGGGAGCTCTCTCTGCCTTTCCATAAATAACTGAAATTATTTTAAACGATTTTTTTAGAAGAAAGAAGAAAAGGGAAAACAACAAGAGGCAACAGAGATAAGATTCACATCCAGGTTTGTCTCACTCACAGACTGTTTGCTTCTCACATCACACTGCCTGGTGTTCTTCCTGGCATAAACTTTGTTTTGCTCCTTGCCTCGTGCCTGTTGCAGGTTTGTGTGGAAGCCAGGACTAAGAACTCCTGCTATAGGACCGTAGAATGCTTAAGAGGTGGTGAAAATGGAGTTGTACATTTTCTTCTGGCATTTAGGAGAAATGTCTTGTCCATAAATATTGTTTGTTGGGAACACACCCCCTCAATTTTTTATTATTTCCAATATTATCCTTTTATTATCACTGCTCAGTAAAGATTGGGCACCTACAGAAAGGATTACTAACATTTGATTTAGAAACTTAAGAAAAAAAATCAAAAGGCAGACACATGCAAAATCACTGGAAATACACAAGGAACAAGTTAAGCCCAGCATTACTGCACGGAGCATAAAACATGCTGTGCCGCTGCGTATTCCGCCTTTTGACTTTTCTGAAACTATTTCACTCATTCCCGTCCCTCCCTCACTCCACCTGGAAGGCAGAACCTCAGAAAATTGGCCAGAAGACGTGAGGTGGATAAAGGCAGGGAAGGTCCCAAGGAGAGCTGGAGAAAGCACCAGAAAAAAGACCAGGTCCATCTCACTTATAGCAGGAGGCACACGACTTACAGGAACAGTCTTCCGAAAGTATCATTTCTGAGGGAGAAAATAGCCAGAAAGGAAAGAAGTTCCCCCAGCAATTGGTTCAGAAGAGAATGGGGAAAACTTAGAGTCCTACAACATACAAGAAAATCGCAAACTAAGAAGACTCAACCACCCCCAGCATGAAAACACAACACTTACTAAGGCATCTGGACTTTGCCAGAATGATGGAAAAGAATGCTATCAAACAGTTTTGCTAAATGTTCCAAGGACATAAGAATGAACAAGAGGAAAGTAAAGCCTACATAACAGAGGTGCTCCCTCGGAAATCTGCCCTGACTCCCTCCACAGTCAAGAGTCAGAAGAAGTTATAAGCCTACACATCAAACTGATTTTTTTTATTTTTTTAAATTTTTATTTGACAGGTAGAGTTATAGACAGTGAGAGAGAGATACAGAGAGAAAGGTCTTCCTTCCGTTGGTTCACTCCCCAAATGGCTGCTACAGCCAGCGCTGTGCTGATCCAAAGCCAGGAACCAGGTGCTTCCTCCTGGTCTCCCATGGGGTGCAGGGCCCAAGCACTTGGGCCATCCTCCACTGCACTCCCAGGCCACAGCAGAGAGCTGGCCTGGAAGAGCTGGCCTGAAAGCTGACCGGGACTAGAACCTGGCACCCATATGGGATGCCGGTGCTGCAGGTGGAGGATTAACCAAGTGAGCCATGGTGCTGGCCCTCAAACTGATTTAAATACATTCAAGAGAGTAGCTGAGGATTGATGACCACCTAGAACCACGAGTCCAAAAACTAACAGCAGAAATGACAAGTGCTGGGAGACATGGAAAAAGAAGTTGACTGAAATCAGGAAAGAAATGAAAGAAAAAGACAAAATTATCCTAGCAATGAAGAATAAAGTAAAAGCTGAGCAAGGAGAATAAACTCAATTGAAAATCCAGGAACAGCATCAAAGGCAGGGCAACAAGCAGAAGAACCAAGACGGCAAGAACAAGTAGCACCAGCCAGCCAGCCAGTGATTGCAGGAGGTGAGGCTCAGCATGGATGCACAGAGGGTCTAGAACGGCTGCCACGCTCAGGTGTTCCCACAGCCTCCTCAGATACAGACCACCACGGTCACCCTTTCTCCAAGAGACCTGATGTCATTGAGGTGAATTCTGTGTTCTCCCACCACCAGGTATCTATTCTAGGATCAAAGCATTAGGGTTGGCTGGTGACATGGCTCAATAGGCTAATCCTCCGTCTTGTGGTGCCAGGACACCGGGTTCTAGTCCTGGTCGGGACGCTGGATTCTGTCCCGGGTGCCCCTCTTCCAGGCCAGCCCTCTGCTGTGGCCAGGGAGGGCAGTGGAGGATGGCCCAAGTGCTTGGGCCCTGCACCCCATGGGAGACCAGGAGAAGCACCTGGCTCCTGCCTTCGGATCAGCGTGGCGCGCCTGCCACGGCGGCCATTGGAGGGTGAACCAACGGCAAAAGGAAGACCTTTCTCTCTATCTCTCTCTCTCACTGTCCACTCTGCCTGTAAAAAAAAGAAGCATGAGGGCTGGGGTGGACATTCGGCCTAGTGGCTAGGATGCCACTTGCGATGCTCTCATCCCATATCAGAATGCCTGGGTTCAAGTCCTGGCTCTGCTTCTGGTTCTAGCTTCTCACTGGCATTGAGTTCCCAGCTCCTGGTTGGGTTGAGCTCTCAGCTCCTGTCTCCAGCCTTGGTCAGGCCTTGACCAGGCCTGTCCATTGTGGGCATTTTAGAGTGACCCGTGGGTGAGAGATCTGTCTGCCTCTCAATTAAATAAACTTTCAGATTTAAAAGCATTAAAGCAACTGGAAAGGTAAAACCAACAACAGTGGAAAGGAAACCCTTCTCAGCCCAGGTGCAATGCGATGTGATGTGTGAGTGACTCCGCGGTTCTCTAGCCCGTCTGCTCAACCACAGCGTTAGGGAGCTTGCCTTGAATAACTCCAGTATCCTAACTGTTCATCTCACCTCCTGAATTAAGCCAGGGGGAGCCCCAGAGCTAAGTTGCCCTTGCTTCTCTTCCAACAAGTACTTAAGCGTTATAAGGAGATCCCCTTTGCACTATGAGCAACCAGGTGCTGTGTTGGGTGATTCTTTGTCTCCTTCAAAGAGGTGAGTCCTGAGTTCAGGGAGCAAATCCCTGCTCCAAGCATGCCAAGCCTCAGATCTTTCCCAAGGACAGAAGCATTGATTTCGTACCTGTGCTGCATTTACAGGTCTTGCTCTTTCTTCCTCAGGAACCACAGATGGTGGAATCAATCAGATCCCAAAGTACCTGATCAGAAAGGAAAAACAGGCTGTAACCTTGGAATGTGAACAGAATTTGAATCACGATGTCATGTATTGGTATCGACAGGACCCAGGGCAGGGACTGAAACTCATCTACTACTCACAAACTGTCAAAGATGTTCAAAAAGGAGACCTGGCTGAAGGCTACAGTGCCCTCCATGAGAGGAAGACATCCTTTACTCTTGCTGTGACATCGACCCACGAGAACCAGAGGGCTCTCTATCTCTGTGCCGCTAGTGTGAACACAGTGAAGCACAGCCCCCTCTTCTCCATGCATAAATGTGTCCCAAGCCCTGTTTCCCCACCAGGTGGCTCTTCTCGCCCAACATGCCCATTCACAAACCATCAAGCATCCAAAGAAGCTGCTGCCATCATTACAATTGATTGACATGGAACTTTGTTGGGGTCTTGCGAAGCTTCATTCATTCACAAAGTCGGTTTAGAAATTATACACACCCTACACATATATACACTCATATTTATTTATCATATATACTTATATATCTCTATATAGCTATATCTGTCTCTCTATAATGTATATCTTGATATAAAGATATGTATCTAGGACCACTGTTGTGGTGCAGTGGGCTAAGTCACTGCTTGCAATGCCTGCATCCCATATCAGTGGGCCAGTTTGAGTCATGACCTCTCCACTTCCAATTCAGCTCCCTGTTAATGTGCCTGGGAAAGCAGAAGAGAGTGAGCCAGGTCCTTAAGACCCTGAAAATTGTGGAGGAGACCTGGATGGAGTTCCTGATCCAGACTAGACTAACCCTGGCTATTGTGGCCATTTGAGAAGTAAACCTGCAGATGGAAGATCTCTTTCTGTCTGTCCCTTCCTCTCTCTGTCAGTCTGCCTTACTTAAATAAATAATTTAAATGTATATATCTGTATTTTTATAAGAAATAATTATTTCTTTGAAAGATAGTGTGACAGAGAGAGAGAAGGAGAGAGGGAGAAGGAGAGAGATATCTTCCATTTACTGGAGCATTCCCCAAATGCCCACAACAGCCAGGATGGGGCCAGACTGAAGCCAGGAGACAGGAATTCCATCTGGGTCACTCACATGGGTGGCAGGGACCCAAGCAATTGGGCCATCATGTTCTGTCTCCCAGCTACACTAGCAGGAAGCTGGATCAGAAGTAGAGTAGCTGGGACTTGAACTGGCACTCTGATAGGCAATGTGGCTGTCCTAGCAGTGGTCCAAAGCACCACTCCACAATGCCCACACCTATTTATCTGTCTTTGTCTCTTCGTGTGGAGACAGAGACATAGATCAAGATAGATAAGTTGAAAATGAGATATAGATGAATGATAGATTTATAGAGGGAGAGAGCCACATACATACGGAGAGGTAGATAAGCAAAGACAGAAGGAAGAGTGAAGAGAGGTTAAGTTCACAATACAGAACCTATTTTTCTACTTTTCTGACCACTAGGAAAAATGAATGGAAAATTGTCCCTTCCTAAAAATTATAAAAACCTAGTGTGGAAGGAGATAGGTAGAAGACAAATACCGGAATCAAGTATCATAAAATGGGTGCTTTAATCAGAAGTGTTAGTAGCGTATAGGGAATAACACAACCAATTCTGTCTGATGACATCGAGAAGGGCTCCAACGCGACAGGGAATTTTGAGAGGAAACCGGAACGATGAGCAGGATATCACCAGATGGGCAAGCACCGAAAGGCTGAGTCAGGCTTAGGCACTATGAATGCAAAGAGTAATTTCAGAAGGAAAATATCAGCACTTTCCTCCACCAGAATATGGCCATGGGAGAAAATTTGGAAGACTGAATGAAATAAAGTTATGGAGAAAAACTGAATTGCAGTTCTAGTGGACCTCCGTTGGCTATCTGCACAGAAATACACTGGAAGCCGGTGTGGATATATTTAGGGCACTCAGGAGATGGTAGGGCTGGACGGAAACATGTGAGCAACTGATCAGCAGACAGGTGTCAGTAAAACTCTCCACATGATCTCCATGCCCTGTGTAGCTTTCGTCCTCATTACGCTCTGACTGAAGACAAGTGGTGTTATTTCTTGGGACTGTGTTTACAGTTGTTTCTCTGTACCTATGGAAGATTGAGTCCAGAACTCCCCAAGGATATCCAAACGAATGCTCAAGACCCTTGTACGTCATGCTGTAATTTGCATATATATTATGCACAACTTTCTGCATACCTTGTCATATCTGGAGTGTTTATGATACCTACCACGATGTAATAGCTTTGTAAATAGTTATATCCTGTATTGTTTAGGGAATAATGAGAGAGTCTGTGCATATTCAGTACAGATGCAGTATTTTTCTGAATATTTTTGAACCATGATTGTTTACACACACAGGTGTTGAGCCCATGGATACAAAAAGTCAGTTTTTTGTTTGTTTGAACACATAATTCTGTATCTATAAACGGTAACAGTCTAAACCATCCACTGTATATAGGTAACACTTCTGGTTGAAGTACTTTTTAAAATTCTCAAAAGCATCGAAGAACCCTAGTGTGTTCTGCTGTGTGGCCCTTTGTCTCCCAGTACAAAGACTATCAGGAGTCCCTGTCCAAAGTCTTGGCTCTAAGCATCTCTTCATATTCCCTCCTGGAATTTAGATTTCCTCTCCCATGTATTCTGTGGGAACTTGACTTACACATAGTCATCCAGAGGCCAAAATAATAGAAAAGGGAAGAGACACTCATGTCTGAATGGGATCTAAAACATGCTGAGGACATGGCACAATGAGATTCCACGCTGTCATTGAAACTCATGTCCCTGACAGCAGCAAGGAAAGCCCAGAGACTGGGCTGAAGCAAAGTGCCTTACGGGGAACAAGCAGCCCGTGCTCACTGATACCTCTATGTCAGTCATTGAGACAGACGAGGTAGTGCCTTACTGTGACTACACAGCCCGTGCTCACTGATACCTCTATGTCAGTCACTCTCTGAGACAGACGAGGTAGTGCCTTACTGTGACTACACAGCCCACGCTCACTGATACCTCTATGTCAGTCACTCTCTGAGACAGACGAGGTAGTGCCTTACTGTGACTACACAGCCCGTGCTCACTGATACCTCTATGTCAGTCACTGAGACAGACGAGGTAGTGCCTTACTGTGACTACACAGCCTGTGCTCACTGATACCTCTATGTCAGTCACTGAGACAGACGAGGTAGTGCCTTACTGTGACTACACAGCCCACGCTCACTGATACCTCTATGTCTGTCACTCTCTGAGACAGACGAGGTAGTGCCTTACTGTGACTACACAGCCCACGCTCACTGATACCTCTATGTCAGTCACTCTCTGAGACAGACGAGGTAGTGCCTTACTGTGACTACACAGCCTGTGCTCACTGATACCTCTATGTCAGTCACTCTCTGAGACAGACGAGGTAGTGCCTTACTGTGACTACACAGCCCACGCTCACTGATACCTCTATGTCAGTCACTGAGACAGACGAGGTAGTGCCTTACTGTGACTACACAGCCCGTGCTCACTGATACCTCTATGTCAGTCACTCTCTGAGACAGACGAGGTAGCCATGGACAGAGGTGATGTATAGCAAGTTTGCTTACCTTCTCATTCCAGAAAAGGTAGTTATGGTGTGAGTGGCACCAATCTAAAGAGGCCCAACACAAAAATAGAGAAAGATAATGCAGCCGCAGGAACATGCAAATATGCTCCTACAGAAACACCGGCATTCATGTACTGCAATGGCTGTTCTATTATGACAGAAACTACTGCACCATAGTACAAATGTAATTTGATGGGCTAGATCTTAATCCCAACTTTTGCATTAAAGCTACACACCTTAGAGAAACAGAACTAACCATTAAGTGAAAGCACAACCATTAGGCTGTTAGAAAAATGAAAATACAAAGATTTTGCAAAAGATTTTTGGCTCTTTTTTATTATTATGTATTTCCAAGATTGGTCCATTGAAGTAATTATCCCAGCATGTTCAGAGCAGAAATGATTCTTTACTCCTACTAGAATGTTTCCATTTGCCAATACATCACCTGATCTTCATTACAGTAAAATAACTTTGATAACTTGAATTAAATTATCCTCAAAACCTTCCCAGTGACTTATATAGGAACATGTATGCTAAATAAATACATTTTTAGACTTTTTAAAAATATTTTTTTATTCATTTAAAAGGAAGAGCTACAGAGAGGCAGATGTAGAGGTAGAAAGAGAGGGGTCTTCCATCTGCTGGTTCACTCCCCAAATGGCTGCAATAGCCAGAGCTGGGCTGATCTGAAGCCAGGAGCCAGGAGCTTCTTCTGGGTCTCCCATGTGAGTACAGGGGCCCAAGAACCTGGGCCATCTTCTACTGCTTTTCTTGGCCATAGCAGAGAGCTGGATCGGAGTGGAGCAGCCAGGACTAGAACTGGTGCCCATATGGGGTGCTGGCACTGCAGGCAGTGGCTTTATCCACTATTCCACAGTGCCAGCCCCCATTTTTAGAATTTTTGTAACTAAGTCCATCAACATACAAATGGGATTATCATGAGACCAACATCTCCTTGAGAACATGAGGAAACGTCTTCATCGTGACTATGGCCTGGCATTGCTGACATGTCTGGGGATGTCAACCTGTAAGTCTAGTGATTGACAGAGCTGAGTTGTCTTGTTGCGATTGCCTTGGACACTGCGCAGAAGCAAAAAACTGACGTGAATGTCATTCAGTCTCCAGAACAGGCCCTGCTGCACAGATGCTCCCACGTGTCATCTCCATGTTCTGGGTCTGAGCGCGTAAGCTGGATGGGAAAGACTCAGATCTTCTTCAGCAAGTGTGCTTTTGTCAGGGAGAGGAACACATCCCACATCAATGGCGAGGAGCACCAGCAGGGGGCAGATGAGGGCATCCTGCATGTTCTATGATCAGGTGCCCCACTCCCCGGACTGGAAGAGGAAGGGAATGCGCTGTCCTACCGGTGTGAGGCCGCCCCTGAAGATGCTAACGCTTCTGCTGCTTCTGGGGCCTGGTAGGAGCCCTGTTACACCGGGGAGCCCGTGTGTGTGTGTGTGTGTGTGTGTGCAGGAATGAAGGATTGGCTGGGCACTGTAGATTGTTTACACTGATCACAGGACATGGAGTGCCCCTTCTTCCTAGGGGTACAGGGTAGGAGTCACCAGTCAGTGAAGATGGGGCTGAGGAACCCCTAGGGTGTGAGAGGAAGCATGCACTAAGCAGACGGAATTCTCCAGCAACCAGGAGGAAGGGGCGGGAGCGAGGCTGAGGCTGTGTCTGACCCTGCTCACGTTGTCCCCTTCCTGCTCTCTGACCTCTGTTTCTGCAGGCTCTGGGCTCGGTGCTCTGGTCCTGCAAAACCCCAGCAGGGCTATCTGTCAGAGCGGAGCCTCTGTGAGGATCGAGTGCCATTCTGTGGGTTTGCAGGCTCTAACCGTGTTGTGGTACCGTCAGCTGCCGAAACAGAGCTTCATGCTGATGGCAACTTCCAATCAGGGCTCCGACGCTGCCTATGAACAGGGTTTTACCAAAGCCAAGTTTCCCATCAACCATCCAAACGCAAGCTACTCAAGTCTGGAGGTGACAAACACACAGCCTGAAGACATCGGCTTGTACTTCTGTGGCGCCAGTGACACGGCGCTGGGCTGAGATCTGAGACCTCGGCAAGAACCTGTGGTGGCCGCTCGGCTCCTCCCCACACACCAGACCCCGGGAGCTGGGTGGAAGGAGCTGTGAGGATGGAAACCACAGCTTCTCAAATTGAAACATCTGAGTGTGGGTGAGGAGGAGGGGAGAAATAGGGAGAGAAGGGAGAGG